ATGTCCAAGCGGCCAAGCATCAGAAAGAAGTTTGTCTTCCAAGCTCTAAAGTCTGCAGCACTCTGAGGGACCACTTCCAGTTTGGTGTGCAACAAAGCTCTAGAATCAACAATCTCCCTTTCTGAGGCATGTGAGGGCGATTCTGAAATCAACTCCTCTTCATCGTCGTCCGACCCTCCACCCCCCTGATCGAATGGATCGGGCGGACCTCCGGGAAAGCCTTTGCCAACACGAAGTCCACGAGAAGGTCCTACAGGAAGCGAAGATGAATGGACAACTGTGTCATGCGAACGATCGAACAAAGGTCGAGGCTCACGATTAGGATCCGTGCTATTTCGGCTTGATTCAAGTGTCAACATTCTGGAACTGAGTGACTGAACAGCTTCCATAATCGACTCCAACATTCTGTTGCCTCCTTCAGTGTCCTTGGGCGAAGATGCATCAGGCACAGGCTTCGGAACGAAAGCAGGCGCAGGCGACTGGATGACCGCGGCGCTTGAAGCAGCCAGTCGGGCCTCCAGCGACGAGATGCGATCTTGTCGAGACGAAGACTCTTGGCAAAGACGCTGGATTTCTGAATCTTTATGGCCTAAAAGGTTGAGGGACTTTTGGTTGAGGTCGGACAAACGGTCGATCTCGTCCTTCGCTTTGCGAAGTTGACCCTCAAACATGGACTGGTTGAATTTGATCTGGTTCTCAAGGGTTTGCTTTACCTCTTGGACCGCTTCATGCAAGCTGGTGATCATGACATCTTTCTCGGTGTGACCTGCTTGGAGCATTTCATTCTGACTACGGAGTTCTTCGACCAGGGATGTCAGGTGACCGATGTGAGCTGTGGCTTCCTGGAAGACTTGTTGAGCGACACCTTCAAAGTGCGAAGCTCTAGAGTCCGCTTCCCCGATCAGTCGTTGAGACTCAGCTACAACACGACCGAACTCTGCATGATCGATACCAACATATGCCACCTGGACCGTGTTAAAAGACCGGGCGTCATGAAGGTGCAATTCTTGTGTCAAGCTAGTTTGATTAGGCATGACTTCATCTTCCTCTCCGGTACCCTGGAACTCGGATGGACCAACCGACCGCTGGAGCAACCCACTGGACGAAGGCAAAGACCGAAGGTCAGTGAGCGCAGGAATGGATGGTTCAACCACTGATGACCCCTCTGCTTGAACCTGGGACTGATTACCTTTGGGCATGTTTTTGATGACTCTGCTCAAAGATCTCTTTGGAGGTTTTGATCTCCTTCCCTCATGAGGTGTTCCGGAACCATGGGATGATTGGGACCTGCTCCGAACTGCAACTGCCAAACCACCAACAGTAGTATCTGAACTGACATTCAACGATGAAGATTGCTCTTCTGACATGATTCACTGGCCAACTATTCAAACTCTCCCAAGCCCTTCTTTCTTTTCGGCGGGAACGAATGCACAATTGGCACAGGCTCTTTTCGGGAACTGACCTAACGAACGAAGCTCCGCGGCGCTCAAAGCAGCCGGACCGGAGCAGCTTCGATGCAACTTCACTCTTCCTCGTCAACTGGATTCGAATGGTGATGCACGAAAGTCACCAAACGATCCACCAACCAAGATGCTGAAAAACTCCAAGACCTTTGCTCTTCGTCAAAAAATCGCTCCGACCCGAGGCTTGCGAATCTGAATAGCGATGAGGCTCGCCGCACTGAACTCACGCAGCACCTCAACGTTGTCGTCCAAAATCACAGCCTGACCACGAGTCAACGATCTCAGCACCTCAAACTTTCCACTTGGGCCCGTCCTTTCACGAGTGATGATCACACAATCAACCGACAATGAACTCTGTTGTACTGCAGTGATCAAGTTCCTCTCGTTCACCACACTGTCGTGAATGTGCGACAAAACAATGATCTTCACTCGACAACGCAAGCCGACCTCTTCAATCTCCCTTCGCAAGCGACGAACTGCTGCAACGTGGCCCGCAGGCAGATTACCAATATGATCCACACGATCCGGAGGATTGACACTCCGATCAACGTCAAGGACCTGATGGTAGTCCAATGCAATCACCGGATCAGAGCCCCAGTGATTCGGCCTTTCTGCAGCCAGCCTCAACGTATCACCGTTCGCCCACACGTAAAACTTGGCTGAAGACGGAAAAGTCAAGGCCTCTCTGTAAACAATGTCAACTCGCGACCACGGGTGAAGAACGACTCCAGGCGCCGGGTGGTAGTACTTGAGGATGTCGTAAGGCCGATTTCCGGCAGGCGTGTCAACAACACTCGAATCCGCTCGACTCGGAACAGGCCTTGGGGCCGCAGCCAAACTTGACGAGCCAGGCGAATGATCGAAGACGTACGGATTGTAGAGCCTTGAACGCGGCACAAGATGCTCAGCCTGCAACGAAGTCAAATCAACTGCCGCTGTATGCGCAACAAACTCAACTTCGTCAGTCTCCTCACCCGAATCCTCGCTTGCACTCGGCTCCCAAAACCTAGAAGTTCCAAGTGGCCTTCTCTGACCGCCAGCGTGAACAATCGGAACCGTCGCTCGATCGCCTCCCGAATTGACAATGTACGCTTCCCTGCGTCGCCGGGCGGCAGCTCCTCCCCGAATGCCACGCCTCGGAGGATCCGGAGGCGTTGGTGGCCTCCTCGGTGGCGGCCCTGGCGGCTCAGGAGGCCGCCACGGTCGACGCAGTGGCGAACGGGAAGGCTCTCGAGGACGCCGACTTGACATGCACGGGTTTTCTGTGGACCCCGCAACCACACTAATGAAAGATGTTGTTGTGTTGTAACAGAAACCGAAAAACAATCAAAAGCCGATACGGCTGATAACCACTTGAACCGTTGGAAAACGGAACACCAACACAAACAACAAGAAACCAACTCTCAGTAAAGACCGCCGTGTCCGCGAAGTGGCAGCGGCTGCGGCCTTTTTGATCACTTGAGCCAAAGGTACAAATGTTCATGAACTGTGTCTATACATATGAGGTGTACTTTACATAGGAAACTTCAAGTGAAATCGATGAGGATAACAGTAACTATGACAACAATACGGTCAATACGGCACAAGCAGGAAGATCAGGAGGGATGGAAGACAACACAAACAACATCAAAGAACCTTCTTACGTCCTTGGTCCTTGCACATATGAAAGGATGGGTGGAAAGAGTAGGAAGATGTAGGAAAGTCATTTTGGAGTATCAGAAGTCGTCTAGTCATGGCGCGAGAGTCCGGGCCACCTGACACAACATGACTGACTTGGCCGATAGAAATCAAACTGACATGTCCCAAAGACTGACATGTTCAGTTCAAACAATAATGTCATCCAGTTTGCACTGATATATATTAAAGGAACAAGAATCACAAAAAAAATCCTCAAAGCGACTGTGCTCGACAAAAGTATACTGGGGTACACACTCCAGCTGGCAAAGCACCTTCCAAGCCGGGCTGAACTGAAAGTCACAAGCCACAAGCACAAAGACATGAGACCTTCATAAGCCCTTCCTAACGTTCCTAACTTTGTTGCAGTAACTCAAGGGACTTCCAAATACAGCGTGCGAAGCTACACAGCATCTCAACTGCGGAGCACCGGAAATCAAACTGAACGGCTAGACAGGCGGTCAACATTTGCAAAGCACGGCGCCTGTGGACATGGCTGCGCCATGAAAGCGAAGAAGGCGCTGCGAGACCCGCACGGACCCACGAAGAAGTGGAGCTTCAAACGACGAAGCGGCGCTCGCTGGATCAAAGTGCTCGCTGGATCAAAGTACCGACTGGTGGTTTGGATGGCCCACTTCTTCCTGGTGAGGGGTAGGGCCAACGGCTACAAAGCCATGGTCCGTTTGCGGTCAGAGCAAGCCAAGAAGGCTTTGATGTAGTGAGACGGCATTCCTGGATGAAAGCCAAACGAGCTGAGCAAAAACGGCTTGGCTTCGTGCAAGTTCAGGCTCTTGAAACTTGGACTTTGCAGTCCAGCAGGGGATTGTTGGATATACGGGTATGTGTACTAGGCCATGTGAGGCCATGTGATTCATCACTGGCAAGAGGCACCTAGACAGTGCCAGGTCTGAGTCCATGCCCCATGCAAAGAAAAGGTGGCTGGCAGCAGGATCTTGTGCCCCCGACTCAGTCCACGCCAGGACTTCCTGACTGCGCCAGTATGATGCATTGATTTCGGGTGCTTAAAAGGGGTGCCGGCACCCCTTTTAAGAACCCTTTCGCCAAGGCGGCATGGAGCCTGGCACAGGACCCACTACAGAAACTCATTGCCTACTACACTTTACTACACCTTTCGATGAGAGCCCCAGCATACAACCTAAAAGTCGGTCCCTTTCCAACCAACGGAGTTAGCTTGTTTTTGGGAAAAAGAGACAACTTTCCGCAGAGCATTCCCCCCAAGGCAGGGTAGCAATACCTCAAAAAAGGTGACGACATGGGCCTGGCTGCGTGGTAGCCAGAGATCAGTACTTCAGTTGATCATGAATCATCATGAATCATGATGTGTTCTTGCCATATCAATCTACAACGGATTCTGCAGAAACCACCTGTTCTTGCCATCCGGGTCGTGGAGTCTCTGCAGTCCACCTTGGCCGCCCGCTCCTTTTTCGTGTCATATCTCCGCCGCTCAGTAGGCCTGCCGCTTGGACGGGGGGCCTGGCGGGGGCTGAAGTCGTTCAGCGGCGTTTTTGGAGGGACAAATCGGGCATCACCAAGGTCTTGGCTTCCGGTTTTCAATGACATGTTTTACTGGCTCCCCTCAAAAATCCAAAAACTGATTGGATTCTGGAAGCGCCTTCTCCCCATCAACAAACTCTGTAGCCAAGTGGCGGCAAAGATTGGTGGAGCTGCACAAGCAAGTGAAACAAACCCTGGCTGCCTTTGCTTCCGATGGAGTGATTGAAGGCTACCTTTCCAAAGAAATTGTCGTGTTTTTGCTTAATTTATAGTTTCCTTACCCACTGGGTCCCACCAGAAAGAGAACACAGCAGCACAAGCTGAGCAGCTCAATGCCGTGGACCTCTGCTAAGGAATCTCCACTGAACATCAGTCATGCAGGGCGAGGCTGCAGGCAAAACCCTTATAAGACCCACTGGCGGCCGCACCCATTTGCATGGAAGCCACCCGCTTCCCTCGGAACCGTCGACGGCGTCCGCAAGCTTCACACCATCGCAGGCTGAAAGCTTAACGGTACGGTAGTTACGGGGTGCATATAGCCTGGTCAACTCTTCATGCAAACATATCCAAACGGCCGAACATCTCAAAATCCCTAGCCCGAAGCACAAGACCCGGCACACCTGTTATCACCTACTTCCTTTTTTTTTCCGGACATTGGCTGATAGAGTGCACTTGTCACTGACTATTCTCTTGCGGCTCCAAGCCGAAAGACTCAATACAATCCCATTCAGCAACACAACTAAGTGCGTGCTGTTTATGGAGGAACTGGGTAGGCTTCTTGACAACTTGACGTCCTTGGCCCCAAAAGCACCAAGGATGTATATACATTTTGAATCATTTTGAGGCATTCTTCCATGATTTTTTTGGCTTTGGCCCAGAACCACATGGGGTCTATCAGGATGCACGAACGACGCACGAACGACGTATCGAAAAGAGACGACCTCGTCCCGCTGCCCACGACCAGGGCCCTGACCACCCGAAGGTTCCCGCCGAACAGCGGCCTAGTTTTTTTGGGACACTCCGAATGCGCGATCGGTCTCATTTCTTGAGCAATGGAAAGAGATTCAGTTCAGTCCTTACATTCACAAATTCAACGAAGTCCAAGTGTGTGAAGTCCGGGTCTTGGAAGGCTGCAGCAAACCCAATCCCATCACCTAATTGTACAGTGACAGTTATGTTATCTGTTATTGTTGTTTTTGTTGTTGTTGTGTGTTGTGGTCCGATGACTCCTGCGTCAAAACGCCCCTTGTTGGGCTCACATCATATCATATCAATAAAACAAAATAAAACATCCGTGGTTTCATCTGCACGTCGTAAAACCTACGGTTTGAGCGGGATATCAATATTGAAGAAGTGTCTTTCAGGATTTGATCCATGCTGGTCTCACAAAACCATTAAGTTCAAATTATGTCAACATTGTATGGCCCTTTCTCTACCAAGTCAGCTGTTCAGCCATGCAGGCCATGCAAACCTGGAAGCCTCATCGTAAAGACTTGTGAGGGTCTGCATCATGGAAGCCTTGATCCTTTTAGCATCTTGAAACGGGGCCCGTTCGATACATCTACATCATGAAAAAACTGTTATGGCTTCTCACTAGCACCCTCAACCTCATGAACGGCAACACTTGCAAAACATGCATCGCAGGCTTCGAACATTCCCTTCCACATGGTTACCGAAGTAATCCAGCCTTCACATAGCCTGAGGGGTTCGACACCTAACGGGCGTTTCAAGCAATAACGAGCACAGGACATAATCAAAAAAGTGATTGTTTAATGTCAATTACAGGTTGGTGGGACCCCGCGAGTGAACATGAACATATATATTGGCCGAACATGGCCGAACAAATGTTGGTGCATGGTATGTTGTACGTACTGAGTACATAAAATTTGTCTTTAGGTTACCCGAACAGGAAGAGCCTTTACCTACTTCAGTGGTGTCAAAAAAAGAGTCTTTGGACTTCTGGTGCGAGGCTTTTTGTTGGTCAAATCAGGAAAGTTCGCAAAAGAAAAGCAACTCGCTCCTCAGCCTGACCCACTCACGCAAATGCTTGTTTGTAAATCCGTAAGTCCCTTCAAAGTGATTCAACATGCAGGGGCCAATGGAACTCTCAGGTCTGAGCATTGCATTTTTTTGTTAAGCATGCCGGCAGGCCTTTCTGGGACCCATCGGCCCATTGCGTGTCTAACCTTACGACCTATCTAATGTAGAGACTCTTGATTCATCACCCCCCCCCCATCGTTCAATCCAAATATTACTCCGGGGAAATTTACCATAGAGCACGGGTCTCAAAGTTGGTGCTCATTAACATGGCACACCCGTAACAGTGACCTCCTGGGGAAATAGGAAAGGACCGGTTGAGACTATGTGGTTGAGGCTATGTGGCTTTTGGAGGTTAACATAGAACCCTCTCAAGTAAGCATGGCTAGTTTCTGCAGCGGAACCGCAGATGCTAACATAGAATACGCCTGATGGCCAACAAGCAGCTGTGTGTTTGATCTTGAAATGTTCCATGTTAGACTCGAAGCATCCAACAATCCCTGGGATTTCCCAAGCTTGTTGTCCACAGTTGAACCTCAGCACCCCCCTCCCGCCAAGCGTACACCCAGTAAGCTATAGGCGCACAGAAATGCTAGAGATAGCCAAAATGCGACAGGCGCACTCGAAACATGCTTTCGATTGTTCCACGTTAGACTCAACAGCGTCCAACCTTGCCCAGATTTCCCCGGTTTGTTTCCACAGCTTTTCAATACTAACATAGCTCCAAATCTTAAGGACACGCACTAGCCAAAAGCAAACCACACTAACACGGCACAAGGCACAAGGATTTATTTTGGTTATTAAGTTACTATTTTTTTGAGATGTTAGATTTCACCTGGGTAATCACAAAAGTCTAGACTACCCACTCCAAAACAGTCAGATTACAAACGGGTCGTTTATAGCACCTAATTGACCGACCAATGCCAAGTCACCAGTCTCAAGGCCTAATTCACCTTACCCAATCGGGGTCCTTCAGTGCCGAGTCACGGAAGTGCTCTTCCCCTCCAGGTCCTTCAGGATTTCGAGCGCGCGCTCCAACGGAAGGCTGGCAGCGGCCTGGAAGAAGCGGAGCGTCGAGGGAGCGGGTCAACGTGGTTTTTGGACGGGAGCGGTTCTCCGACTGGAGTAGAAAAAGTCAATGGGAAGCAACAGGCGTCCAAACTTGGAGTGGAAAGAGTGTGATTGGATGTGATTGGGCAGACTGGTCTGTCTGACAGCTTTATAGTGATGTGTTCCGTTATCTGGTCGCAACGTGTGACAAACACACTTCGCCTGCGGCAGATTGAACAAACCAACATGAATAGCAGTGTTAGTGCTGGGACATACCACAGGCTGAATACACTGAGACCGCTGACCGCTTAACTGCATGGCAAACCATGTCGATGAGGGTCCAAAACGGTAGACCCAGCCTGGTTGACCACTGGGTCAATGAACCAAATAGAGAGGTCAACCGACCAAAGTCAGGTCTGGGCTCCGGGCGCCATGACCGCCAACATCCAACCCGCAGCATCACCCCAAAGAGGCAAACAACAAGGATCCAGGTCATCCAACATCGATCTAATCAAACTGGTGCGACTCGTAGGGAATGCAAGAATGACCTCCCAATAGAGATGAAAAAAGGGGTCGATGCCCTTATTCCTTGCGGGCGGCATCAATCAGTGATTTGATCTGCCCAATATCCACTTGCATTTGACCTAGGGCCTCTAGGAGTCTGCAAAAGCAGGACGTGACCTAGACGGCCCCTGGACAGATCCACTTCTTCATGGGTATATGTTTCATGGATCTCCACCCATGAATAGGGGCGCCATTCCCTGGAACGGAGGTGGATGGCACTCCTTTCGGGGCCATGCCAGCCACTGTAACCATGTTTGTTCCAGAAAGTGTACGTCGCCCAAGTGTGCGTCATTGAACCTGTGAAACTCATTGAAGCTCTGTTTTCATCGCTGGCCCCTGCGCCTCTCGGGCCTCTTGGTCTAACGGCGCAGCGGTGAAGACCTGAGAGCTGCGATGAGCTGCGCCGTGCACCGAGCGATGGCCTCCAATGGATGTGATCAAATCGGCACCGTGAAGACTATCTACGGGACGGCACCTTGAAGACTTTTCCAATCAAACCAAACCACTCCCTTCACTGGATCATTGGGAGACTTGTCCAGAAAAATATGGCAAACCAAAAAGATGGTGCTAGCTTCTTCGTTAGATCCAGGATCCCGGATCCCTTTTTGAACGCCAACCTTGAACCTGCGGGGTTTCCGCCGCAGGGCGAAAGAAGAGGCTCCGCACGTTCCCGTTCAGCCAGGTGATGCGCCTCACCGGGCGTGGGATTCACATGTGGGCCGTGGGTTTTCGAAATTTCATGGACAGCAGCATCACTGGCATCACCAGCCAGAATCGCCCTTTTCTGAGGCGGAATGTACACTTTTCTGCTGGGTCATGGTGGGAACCAAGATGAACCAAGTTTGGATTTTGCGTCATCAATGGATACGCTATAGTTACTATGTTGTTGAACAGCTATTGAAGCTATACTTGGGGAAACCCAAGATGGACATGTGGAAGTAAAACACCAAAAGGTCCACTCACCACCAACCAAAGGTACGCTTGCAATTCCAAACCGGACTCCGAAAGCAGTGCATGTTTCATGCCCCAATCATTGAAGCAATGCATCATCACACGTCAACCCAAAGCCTGATAGTATCTCTGATCTCACCAAGCCCCTTGAGCCCCATAGCCCCAGAAACCTCGCTCTCTCCTTTTTGTTCCGCACTGCACGCTGCATGCATGGCGCTCCTCACGACCTTCAGCGTCTGCAGGTCTCGCCGGTCCAGTTCGGCCTGAATCTCCGGTCCTGTGAAGCCATGGCGCGCCCATTGCCGGACCTCCCGCAGCAGGTCGTCGATGATCTCCGCCGCGGAGAGGACCTCGCAGCCAGACGCGGCTGGGCAGAAGTGGGCGGTGGCACCAACAGTCCTTATCCCATTCCCTGTAACAGTGGATGATGATGGTCAGTGGCCTTTCTCTAAAAATTGTGATGATAATTGTTTACCGACTGTTGCAGGTAAGTAATGAGACTCCCCCAACATGTATATATATATATATATATAAATTGCATTGTCCACGCGAAGGGGCGGTGCCTGGCATGCGGAAAGTTGCTTCCTTGGCCTGGCTTGCGTGGTGGGAAACAAAGCGTGCTCCATAGGTACTTCTTTCAGCAGGTTCCGAAACTGCCGTCTGGTGGCCGCTTGTGGCCCCCTGAACATGCAGAATACAAATAGTAACATGGATTGAGGCCGTGGCGATGGGTTTCGAAACTGCTGTCTGGCATATGTTTTGGTGACTGTTGGGCGCATTGCGTGTGTCCCATACATATCTCTTTCAGATTCTTTCAGTGGTTTTCAAAACTGCCGTCTGGCATGCTATGTGGGATGCTTGAATCTAAGGCCAGTGAACATATTTCCTGAAGACTATTTTGGATGGACCATATTTGTTTCTAGCTGTCTACGGTGTCATTGTAGATTGCTTTGGACAAGCCATCGCCATCGTCGGGTCAGCAGCAGTATGCGTTAGCCAATTCTATATGTAGAGAGCCGGTAGTGGTGGGGAGTAGGGGTGTCAAAGTTTAGGCTTTGTTTTTGCTGAGTTCTGCATTCCATAGTGTAAAGAGTTGAGATGTTCCTGGAATTCCTTCTCTTTTCTTTGTTTAGGAGTTTCCTTGGTTGTCTGTAGTTTGGAAGTTGGCATGCTAGGCATCCTAGGCTCGAGCAGGGGCAAAGCATTGCTTGAGCTCATAGCGGCACAAAAGGCATCTAGAGTTCACGATGTTTCGGAGGACTTACTCATCAGCTTCATCTTCTTGATGGTGTTGTTGCCACAGCTGCTTTCACTCTTCCATGCCTTCTTGGACGGAACCTTGTAATTACTTTTTAGGTATATATTCATTTGTTTTTTCCCTGATTCATGGCGAGGTTGCGCCGCTTGACGAAGCAAAGGGCCTGGAAGGCATGGCAAAGGGTGCGACATTCATTCAAGAAGCGTGCGTAATTAGTTGTGAAAGCAACTAACCACCTGCTCTGCAGCAAACAAGTTGAAGCCCTTGAAGTGCTTGGCCGGGTTGTATGCACAAGTCTTCTTGTCCTTCAAGACATGGCAATGGTCGACCGCACAGAATTTGATCTGTTTGAAGCAGGACCTGGACCTTCCTGGGGAACTCCATGACAAATGCACCCACCTGCCACCTGCTGGTACTTCGGACGGGTCTTCACCAAGGAGTTGCTTTCAGGGTTGTCACTACATGTGGCAGCAAGGACCGCCGGACCTGGGGGTTGACCATCCCTTTTTGTGACGGTGCCCTTGTGTACGGTGCTGCCCGACACTTCCGACAACGTCATACACCTGAGATCTTTTCCAGATTCAACAGGGGGCTCATTTGAACCAACAACGTCCGTGTGCAAGTTCATTCAAGGTGAGCCAGTATGTAATATGCCATGAAGCTTGCGGACTCTGCTGAGACTGACCTCGAGCTGGAAGGCATACTCCAAACTCCAAGGCTGCATGAAACTGGAGACGGCTACTTGCTGATGCGGAGAGCGGACGCGGAGAGCGCATCAGTGACATATGACATCAGGGTTTGCGGATGTTTGCAGTGATTGTTTGGCCATCCTCAAGAGGGCTCAAGTGTTGCTTGAATTTCTAGTGCTTGTCCGCCCCAATGCGAAGTGGCACGCCTGACGAAGTGTGCAATGATTTTGACGATGTAAGGATGCCGCCGACTACCTTACCCGCCTTACGCTTTGCAGTGCAATGCGTTTGGTTCGTGCAAACCACGGTGTTTGGCTCCTTCGGTACAAGTAGCAGGAAGCTATTAGGTTGGAGGCCATCGCTACTAGGGTGGAGGCCATTACTACTAGCAAATCTTAAGAAGCTACTAGCTAAGGGTCTGCATTGTCTGCGCTTGCGGTTGCGCGTGTTCCCGAGGTGATCCGATCTATGTCTCCAGCTCCACGCATCGTTGCATGACATATAAAATATATAAATCATAATAATATCACATTTATGTTTATAATCTATATTTGTCTATAGTTCTTATGTTTTGATATATGTGGTTCTTTTCCCTAATTACGTCTCCCTCTTTGCCTTGAACCCGGCATTCAGCTTCCGGATCTCTTTCGCCCCCCACTCTCGCTCGCACAAGACCAAGGTCTGTGTGGGGTCACAGAACTCCTGCAGGCGAATCACATTCCAAGAGAGGTTCAACAGCCATCCATGCCCATCCCACGACTTGTACCACGTTCTTCCAGTGAAGCTTTGGGACTGATCGTGAAGGTTTTTATATGGTTCTCTCATAGACGTGTTTTTTTTTCAGTTTCGGCCGTCCTCCCCTGGCCGAGCTAGGGCATAGGCGGCATTCACCGTCTCGGCTGTCGAGGGGTAGTGAATCAGCCGTGGCAAGGGAGCCCCCAAGGTCTTGCAGAGCCTGAGTCAAGCTTTCATTTCCTTCGCGCTCTTCTGTGACCAAATTGCTTTCATTTCCACTTTTGATTTTGGGGCAACTTGCTGCTGTAGAAGTAGCCCCTAGTCTTGTCTGACCCACCTGAAGATAAGGCCTGGAGTTATGCGGTACGCATCACCAAACAAGGTCCATCGCGGAAACCTCTTCCATTCAAAGTCAAGACTCAGTCAAAACATGTCCTTTTATGCACTATCACTAATCACTTGCCATGGAAAACGAGACTAAAAAGCAACAGACTGCCGGTTAAACTGTCAACCTACGCTCCCCTGACGTTCACCGGCTTTCAGGTAGACGCTCAGTGGGTAGCGCCTATGGTGAAGTTTTTGTTTGGAACAATTGACTTGAAACGTTGGGGAGATCAAACATTTGGAAACGCCAAGGTCGAACTATGTCTAACCTTCCACCTTAAGTTTGACCAGTTCCTGCCACCAGTTCCAGGTTCCTACAAGGTGGATGTCTGAAACAAGGTTGGCCAGTAGTTCCTGCCACCTTCCACCAGTTCCTGCCCCAACCGGACCGTGTGATTGGATCGCGGGCTCCTCGCATGGTACTTGGCCCTTGGTCTGACTGACCTGCATCGGGGACTGACCTTCGAAGGATTTGTTATGATAATGACATTGAAATTCGTGCATCAAGATGTCAAGATGTTTACCTTTGAGATGCATTGAGCACGTATTTATGTTCTATGAGATAAGCATGCCACATGGCCATATCATATCATTGCAAATGCATGTTCTTGGTACCAATATGTCAAGCTGTGCAAACCAAAAACGCTCGCCACGACCTCCGCCGAGACCGATGGAACCGCCGATCCGACGTCGATGTGGTTTGGGGGCCGAGGCTCTTCACAGCTGAGACCTGATCCACCACATGCGCCTCGGCGGCTTGGGGTGGGCCTAGAGCACCAACCATGAACCTCACACGGTTCTCACTGCAAAGACTCAAACAATCTCAAACACGTACAAGGGGTTTCAGAGTAGATGGCACTGGCACCCCAAAATGTCCTTTGGATCGTTTGGATGTGGGTCCATAGGACAACCAAGTCTTGGGGATTGTGCATTTTCTACGCTGAAACCATGTTGCCGTCAAACTCTGAAGCCTTCCCCGTCTTGTGCCACTCATGATGCGCCGAAAGAACGCCAACCGCCGCCAGGCTGGCCGCCAGGGTGCTGTGTCACGCATGAGGTGGGCGAGGTTCTGGAACCGTTCGGTCGAGGTGGTTTCGAAGCAAAAGGTCGGGAGCGCATCCTCGTGGTCTTCCACCTCAGAGCTCGGCTGACCGTTCGGGAAGAGCTGCTGCCTTCCACATCGCCCAACTGCCGAATACGATTTCAGGTGAAAAACCATGACAAGTTCGCAAAAACAGGTTTCTTCTATTATATGAGCATCTGCCATTACTGTCAATAGAGGACATCATTCAGCCATAATGTCCCCATAGATAGATGGGCATACAAAAACCGCGGGGATGTGGTTATTGCTTTTGAGGGGAGCCTATCGCTTTTTGCAGGTTTTAGCAAAAGTCGTGAAATTCATGACCGCTCTCAACTAAATTATATAGTTATCGCACGTTTTGGTGGTTGTTGTTGTTGTTGTTGTTGTTGTTGTTGTTGTTGTTGTTTTAGGTCAAGCTGGCTGGTCAGAATTCCATGGATAATAGGAACACACCATGAGTGTCACAAGTGTTTTTGGCAACAAATGCAACACAGTATAAATTACTGTATATACATGAAGTCGAAGCCTCTAACAAATCCAAAAAAAAGAGTTCAAAACGGCGGCCACATGTCTCCCACTAGCTTTCAAAACCGTAGTAGATCAACTGGACCATTGATTGATGGCCTTTGTCCCCCCACTTTGACAGGTTTCCGTGGCCGGCGCATTCCTTGGATCCGCTAGGTGGAAGACGTACGCCCGGGAAGAGACCCACATGGAACCTGAAAACCACGTCGGGTTGTGGAGGAAAATTGTCTTCCAAAGGTCCATGCCATCAGGTTCCATGTTCAATTTCCCAGGTGTATTCCAAGAGCTTAAGATGGACCCTGGATGGTTTCAACTCCACATCCGTGCAGAAACTCTCACGCCACCGCTGCCACCGCTGCCGCCGGGCTGCTGGGACCAGCGTGGCACTGTCCAATGCCCACAGGCGAAGGCGACGCACAATCGGCGCGTGGAAGTCCACCTGGGAGACGGCCCAATGGGTTCCTTCTCCGTTCGTCCAAAACAAGCCACGCAAACCTGCACAGCTGGGGGTAACCAGGGCGTTCAAACAGCCGGAGATGAGTGGTGCTTGGGCGAAACCCCATCACTCTCGGCCCATGGACCGCAGAGAAGTCTGCCATTCCGTCAACTGCTGTGAGTCCAACGAAGCGGTCGTCCCCTCAAAAGCTGGGCCATGATGATTCCAAACATGTATCTTTCCACCAAATAGCCAGTGAGAAGACACTCGACAGACAAACCCGGCCCTTGCGCTCTCCAACCACGCTCAGCCAGGAGGAGCCTACTCAGACTGTCTCAGATGCCAACACCTCGAGCCACTGCGAACCCGCGGCAGGCGTCTGAGACCTGCGGCGTCTTTCATGCCCGAGACCTGCGGCGTCTTTCATGCCCGAGCAGCCAGAACATCCGCCTCCCGTCTAGATTCGAAGCGCTCGCGGCAGGTGAAGCCTCAAAGCGCTGAGAAAGAAAACCCTCGTCTTCTGAAGGAGGGGCCGAAGGAATATTCTGGGTCCAGTGCCTCAAAGGTGGCCTGTGCTGGCAAGCTTGTTTTACTTTGGGGTATGTTATCCTTTTATTTCGATGTACTGCTGGGGAGGACCCTGCAGCGTGCAATGCTTTGGCACAGGAAGCTTGCATTTCGTGTGTTTGCAAGCAGTGCCAAGCAGTGTGTAGGCCAGTGTAGGCAAAGCCGGAGGGAATGATCCTTGGGGAGGATTGGATGGGTAGGGGCGGGAGGGCATGGTAATTACTGAAGGCGTGTGTGTAGTTTGCTGTTGTTGCGTTGCACTCTGCAGGGCTTTACATGCAAAAGGAGTGCTACTTCAAAATCACTTCGAACTCGTGGAAGGACATGAACTCGGGATACAATGTTGCGAGGGAAGGGGGTTGGGGGGAGAGTGCAGCGTCTACCCCAAAAACATGGAAACGACTGAGCCTCTGCCCCTTTTTGTTTTGTCCTTTTTTTCTTCGAACTGGTTGCTATTTTCGTTGCTCGTTGCCATGCAGAGATTCTCCCGAGCAACTAAAGAACAAAAAAAGGAAAGAAACGAAGACAAGAAAAAACACACAAACAACACAAACAACAACATGTAGAAGAGCAATCAACAAGGAGAAAAGCACAAAGCACAAATAAGAAAGTGGAGAAGCAAAAGAAAAGACAATAACACCAAAGCAAAGAAACAACGGTTCAAAACACGTGCGTCAAAAAAGCTCAAAATCAATCTATAACACGATGGAACCACGAACCCGAATGCAAACACGTTCAAAAAGCTTCATTTGTCCAAATGACACTCTTGTAGGACACTCTTGTGGGACACTCTTGTAAGTCACTCTTGTAGGAAACTATTGTGGGACACTCTTACAGGACACTCTTGTGGGACACTCTTGCAGGACACTCTTGTGGGACACTCTTGTAGGACACTCTTGTGGGATACTCCTGTAGGACACTCTTGTGGGACACTGTTGCGGGACACTCTTGTGGGACACTCTTGAGGGACACTCTTGTGAGACACTCTTGCGGGACACTGTTGCGGGACACTCTTGTGGGACACTCCTGTGGGATACTCATTTGGGACACTCTTGTGGGACACTCTTGTGGGACACTCTTGCAGGACACTCTTGTGGGACACTCTTGTGGGACACTCTTGTGGGACACTCCTGTGGGACACTCTTTTGGGACACTCTGTGGGACACTGTTGCGGGACACTCTTGTGGGACACTCTCAAGGGACACTCTTGTGAGACACTCTTGCGGGACACTGTTGCGGGACACTCTTGTGGACACTCCTGTGGGACACGCATTTGGGACACTCTTGCGGGACACTCTTGGGGGACACTCTTGTGGGACACTCTTAAGGGACACTCTTGTGAGACACTCTTGCGGGGCACTGTTGCGGGACACTCTTGTGGGACACTCCTGTGGGACACTCATTTGGGACACTCTTGCGGGACACTCTTGTGGGACACTCTTCTAGGCCCTCTTGTAGGACACTCTTGTGGGACACTCTTATAGGACACTCTTGTAGGAAACCCTTGTGGGATACTCTTGTAGGACACTCTTGTGGGACACTCTTGTAGGACACTCTTGTGGGACACTCTTGTGGGGCACTCTTGTGGGACACTCTTGTGGGACACTCTTATAGGACACTCTTGTGGGACACTCTTAACTCTTGTCAGACACTCTTGTGGGACATGGTTGCGGGACACTCTTGTGGGGCACTCTTGTGAGACACTCTTACGGGACACTCTTGCAGGACACTCTTGTGGGACACTCTTGTAGGACACTCTTGTGGGACACTCTTACGGGACACTCTTGTTGCACACTCTTGTAGGACACTCTTGTCAAGGGACACTCTTGTCGGACACTCTTGTGGGACACACTTGTGGGACACTCTTGTGGGACACTCTTGTGGGACACTCATACGGGACACTCTTGTGGGACACTCTTGTAGGAGACTCTTGTGGGACACTCTCGTGGGACACTCTCGTGGGAAACTCCTGTTGGAAACTCTTGTGGGATACTCTTGTAGGACACTCTTGTGGGACACTCCTGTAGGGCACACTCTTCGTACGAGACTTCCTCCAAAAGTCACGCTGCGA